CCCCCCCCCCCCCCCCCCCCCCCGAGGGTTTGAGGCGTCCAGTAACATGTTATAATTATGCAGAAATAGACCCATATAAAATAATCAAAAATATAGTAAACAACATGGTAGAATACAACAGTGCAAATAGGATGAATCAGTACAAACAAGCAGTGGAAGAGAAAGTACTCAAACACTATACTTAAGTAAAAGTACAAATAAACAGACAAAAATGTACTCTAGTAAAAGTAACAAAGTCCATGCTCAATAATCCAGGTATACAAGCCAACATTTTTCAGTCAGGTCAACAAGCTGGACAGTTTCTTTTTTTGTGCTGAAACGTTTCACCTTAGATCCAGAAGGCTTCATCAGTCAAGGAAACACACAACAAAACTGATTCTTCCTCCAACAGCTTACTCCAAAGTGGAACAAACCAGTTCTGCTTGTGATAAGATGGTCTCTTTGGTACGCCCCTCCTCCATTGCCAGTCCTCTTCCTTGTTGACAGTCTTGTGAAACTGGTTGAAAACAACAAAGTCCATGTTCAATAATCCAGGTATACAGTACAATCCAACATTTTTCAGTCAGGTCATCTGGACAGTTTCTTTTTTTGTGCTGAAAAAGTAGAAAAGCTAGTGAAAGTAGAAATACCACACGTTTTTACTTAAGTAAAAGTAAATAAGTACTTGCATTTAAAAATACTTAAAGTAATAATAATAATAATAATAATAATGAATTTAATTTGTAATGCACTTTTCATTAACAAAAATCTCAAAGTGCTATTAAAAGTTAAAGAACTTGCTGAATGTATTACCTAATGCAATGGTCTACAATATCTTTAAGTGTACCCACCGTATGTATATGTTCTGTAATACATTAATAGTGTTGTGTCATTTTAATGAACAATGCTGCAGATAATACATGTTTTTATTGTGTTTACTCTGTGACACAGTTCACACTTGGACTTGTGATTCTGTGCATCAGAATTTCAGGGATGACCTGCAGAGTTAAATGTTATTAAGCAAAATAAGAAAGAGTAATGATTATACCTTTGAAAGTTTTTATTTAACACAAAGTAAAACCAGTTAGTCATTTAACTGCAGTAAACACATTTAAGTAAAAGTTGTCTGCCTGAAAACAGGAGCATTAGACCTAACAAAGGAATAGACCCTGATCATTTCAACTCCAGTTTGTCATCAACTCTAGTTAAAATACTGTCTAGTCGACCTTGTAATGGGTCAATAGTGAACAATATTTTAACTTCCTGACACCATTTTCAAAACTTGGACCGAGTTTCGAGCCATTTGGAGACATCTCTTGTCTCCTGTCCTAACATGAACTGACACATTTTAATATTGCAGCAAGAATTTCAGAGTAAGAGTCAGAATCAGAGAGATTTATTTGTCATACACACCACATGTACACAGGGTCCCAGTTACATCCCACAATAAAATGTATAAGAAAAACACTAATAAGATCTAAGATATGAAAAAAGAAAAACATCAACTAAGCATTTCTTGTTCAAGTTCAGAAGAAGTTGGTTTTCAAAGTTTTTTTGAGTCCAGTCTGGCTCTTTTGGGAGAGAGAATCTGTCCTGCTGTACTGAATAGTCTTTCAATAATCTTTCAATAGTCTTTCAATAATCTTTCAATAGTCTTTCAATAAGGCCATGGGTGGCATGTATCTTCTGGCTGACTCTCCACGGTAGAATCCATTTTGGGTGTGTTTAGTTGTGTTGTGGGTACATCCAGCTCAGTGACGTATACACTAGAATATACGTCATTGGCCCAGCTCTTCTTGAAGGTGGGTCTAACGTTACCTGCCCACTTTTGCAGTCATTCAATGGACCAACTCCCCTCTCACTATTGGTTACTTTCAAACGAACAAACAAATAAAAAAAACGCAACGTGAATGTAACTTGTAACACAAAAAATATAAAATATAGTGCATATGTAGACTAGAATAGAAATGTAGTGTAGTAGTAAGTACAAATATGTAAAATGTAGTGGACAACACAAAATCATATTCAACTCTCCACAACTATTTAAGAAAATAACAAACTTGGTTAAAGGGTTGTAAGCTCAATCATCCAGGTATAACAATAAAAAAGTTTCAGTTGTGTCATTTGAACCAGTTTCTTTAAGTACGAAACATTTAAAAGCCTACTTTTGATATTCCAACAGGAGGTTGGTTTGAAACACAGCAGTGAAGGCTACCTATGGGACAGATCTGTTTGGCAGGCAGTAGACTGAATAAGTCCTCTGGATGGGGGATGAAACATTTTTCATTTCAGGAAACTGGTCCAGATTACATAATTTAACCTTTTTTATTATTATTATTATTAACGAACATGGTTGTATGGAAATTTAGTTGCACCAAGTTGGTCACAACTCAAGAATAAAGAATGACCCACTGATATTTCTCTGAAACACGCATGCTGCTTTACAAATAAAGACCAACATTTCTTGTAAGTACATATCATCCACCTTTCATTTTAGACTTTTAAACTACAATTATCTCATGATGAGAAACAAGAGTTGTAAATATAAAATGTAAATCACATTTTTTAGATGATTGTTTCCTCTGGTATCGGATGTTGTGCAGCCGGAAGGATTTTTACTGAAACTTTTTTAGTTTTGGATATTTGTTATGATGCATAACCACCAACAGCAGCTGATTAACCTCAAATAATATCTCAACTACAGCCCCAAATCTCACATGAGTTGAAAAGGATGTTCTGTGGACGCATTCTCATCTACTTGCCCGTTGTGCTCGAGTGCCTGACCACTTAGATCCTGGAACTAGCAGGAAACACGGCTCACGACAGCGGAAGGACAGGATCGTCCCTCAGCACCTACAGTTGGCTGTCCGCAGCGACGAGGAGCTCGACAGACTGCTGGGAGGAGTTCTGCCCAGTATTTGGGCGGTACAGCCCAGGGGAACTGAGAGGCCAGCTGAGTCTGGGTGGACGGATCGGACAGCATCTGCAGCCAGTTTCTTAGGATCCACTGTGGGATGGACCTTTACAAGAGATCCTTCCTGTCTACAGCCATCAGTATCTATAACATCTCTTAATGAAATGAGGATAACGAGTTACAACAACAAATAATTTCCCTTTGGGATTAATAAAGTATTTTGAAGTTGAATTTTTGAATTTGAATTAATACTTAGCTCATGTGCTGTTAATGACTCTCAACTACTGACACATCAAGTAGCTGTATAGCCATTTTCTGAAGTGGGTAATGTCATAAGCTGTGGTGGCCATGATGAATCTGGTTGACTACAAACATTAATGAACTGTGGAGGTGCATCCAATTTTGGGGGGAAGCTCCATTAAAATACTACTGTACTTCATGAAATATTTTGCTAACTGACAGAACTGACTTCAATAGTTGATTGCAAAAATTTCATGCAATCGGTTAGTGCTCAGAGTATAAGTTGGGGGAGATTCTCAGCTTCTATCACATCACATTTTAGCTCTTTATTTGTAAAATTGCCTTACTTAAAGTAATTTTTGTGTTTGCTAAAGTCACTTAGCTGTGTCTGCCATTTTGTATTGGATTGGCTCCAAATGTCAGTTGTTTGTAGATGAAAATCTATGATGACTTTTTGAAAGTTTCATTAAAATCCATCCACTAGTTCAGGAGAAACATTGCTATCAGACATAAAAACATACACACATGCAAAAACATTATTATACTTGCACCTTCAGTGGCAGGAAATAATACAAAATTATAGTAAATCTGTGATTAATACCTAAAAGTTTACTGAATATTGTATATCAAACTTGAATCCTACATAGAAATGTTAAAATTCTTACAATTATATGCAAAAATACATAAAAATGATAGGTACAAAAAAAACTTGAACTTACACAGATGAGAACTCCATTATAATTTCCAGATATATTATTTTTTTTAAAAGACATGGTTTTATGTTTATTTCCACCATGATTTGTCAAAAGAAGACAGCATTTGTAAAAGATTTCATGCTCATATGTTTTATAACAAAAAACACAAGCAATTTGTCCAAAAGTTCAGGTTAACTCATCTCCTTGAGCCTGACTCTTTGAGCTATTTGTGACAATTGAAATGTGATTTTGTAAGTCACTTCCATCTTCTTTCTAAATGCAACTATTGTTTCAAACCATTTTTCACTCAAGGCTTATTAGAAGCTTACGAAGTACTACAAGACCATACAGAATGTTCTACCACTGTAATCTAATCATCTGCAGAAATTACTTCTATAAATCAACCAAAAAATAAATGTCAAAATCAGCCAATGGCTTGGCTGCCTAGAAGTGCCAAGTCTCTTTTTTACATCGCCAGCAAATAGACTCCACCCATTCTTGTT